GGAATTTTTAGTACCCAACTAAGAGCAACTGGAGCAGCACAAAGCAGTCCTCATGCACCAGTTAATTGTGATCTTCATCTTCACCAACAGTATTTTTCTTGCTTTATGAAAACTTTAGTTCTTGGTTATTTTCCAAGGTTTCAAAACCCTGAACTTTGTATAAAAACAGGACTTACTCAGCCCCAAACGCCACAGAACCCACATGTACTGTCATCCAGAATTTTAAACCCAAGGGGCCAGATAAGCTTTACAGATGTTCTGTTCTAGGATGCCTCATCATATAATTCCTGACTTGCATAGGAGGAAAATGTCTCCAGAGTGCCTTCCATATAGTTGGAAAGTGAGGTGGCCCAATTCTCCAAGATATTCTGCTCCCGCAACTCCCATGGGCTACAGTAGGATTTGCAGCTACTCAACACCTCCCATGATCAGGCCACTAATTTCTAAACACACATCAATTTATATTAAAAGCAAGCAAGTTTAATTTTTTCCCCTCACACATTCCAAGTAATGCTGGTTGTTGCACATACTGTTATTCTGTAATAAACTTAAATGTTTCACAGGGATCCGTTTTATTGCACTGCTCTCTCTCATTTATAGCAATGATTCTTCCAATTGCTGCCAATTTGCCTAGTTATTTAAGCATGCAGATTAAATACACATTATTTTCCTGATGAGAGTATTAGGATTCATATAGTCATGAACCCTGTAGTAGTTAGTGGTAGCAAAGATTTTGAGACAGCTCCTTAGCAATTAAACCAGACTATCTATAATGCTTTTTTCCCCCTTCACAAGAAAGCCTACATTAAATATAGATTATCCTCAAAAGAGAGACTGAAATGTGGACTGATGTTGGTCTTATCCTTTAAATACCTAAAGTTTATATCAAAAACATTAATCTTCTTGAATAATCCATGTTTCATGGATAATAAGCACTGTTGTGCTAGAAAAGTTAAAAACTTTTTATTCCCAAGACAACTCCTCACAGAAATGAAATAGTGTGCATCTCTTTTATGTTCTCCTATTGCAAAATGCTCAAATGTCCTCGAAAGGATTTGAGTGATGTGAGAGAGTTTCTGGAATTCCAGAATAGAATTTAGAATGTAGAATTTCTGAATTGTACCTGGCCAGATGATTGGTCTATGCATTCCAGTATCCTTTCTCCAGCAGTGTCAGATACTTCAGAAGGAAAAATGCCATAAAATACCATAACTTTCTACTATCAGATCTACTAGTTTATTGTAGCATTCACTCCTGCATTATCTCTGGTACTAATGGCATCCTCTGTCACCCACCTGCCCACTTCTCCAACAAGCAACATCTTCACACTTTCTCCTTTGCTGGCCCCATGCAGGGGGAAAAACCCTGACAAAATTGCCTTTTCCTTTTTTAAATTCTTACCTAAATTTTAATTCCTAAATTTGAAAACCTACCTCTGGTTTTGGGGCGTGCAAATCATTCTTATTTGGAATTGGTTAGAGAAGAGGCACATTGTTATATCTGATGTATCTTTACCTCATCCTCCAACTTACCCCCTCACCCAGTTTTTCTGTTTCATCCACCGGTTGTGGCCTTTCTGACATGTAGGTTGTTAACTCCCTGGGGAAGGAGATTGACATCTTTGTTATTTGTCTGTACAGCACATAGTACTGATCCTTTTTTGGGATTCCTAAGAGCTACCATAATACAAATAACAGTATTATAGAGGAGGGATTTTCTTTCTAGCCATGCCTTGTGATCATCTTTGAATCATGGATCATGAAGATAGAACAATCAAATATTATAAATGTTGATTAATGGGTACATCCATGCTTAGGTGTTGCAGAACTGAACGACAGATACCATCACCATCGTAGCTAAGCTCTTGGTAAGTGCTTGGATACCACAGAGATGGGAGTCTGTACAAGAATCTAAATAGGGAGAACCAGCTTGAATTGAACATGGGACCAGAGGGTAGAAATGCCTAAATTTTTATCCATGGTCTTAGGGTTAGTTTACCCTATCGGTAAAACAGTGTATTCTGTTAACCATGGGTTGCTAACGTGCTAAAGAGGAAAAAATATATATATACACAGCACAACAAACACTGAGGTCTAGCCAAAAATATATACAAGGTGTCACCTAGCATGTGTGTAAGCTACCATTGGGTGACAGAGATGACATTTTAAAACAAACCACTGAGGGGTTTTATATGATGGCTGCATTGCCAAGTATTTTCACTCAAGCCGTGGTTGGGAAATTGGCAGCAGACTGGAAAAGGAATCAGCTGCCTACCTATTCCTGGAAGATCAGATCCTAACCAATGCCTATCTGTCGTCTCTGACACACGAAACCACAACCATCTCTTACAATTTCTGTTCATATCTGCTTTGTCCTCATTATATGGTCACTTTCCAGTGATAATGCAGTCTATTCCTTTCTTGAAATTATGTTGAGGAAGCACTGTATGCACATTTTGCACTGTTCATGATGCTTTGCACCAGATCTGCATCTAATTTATATTCCCATCCCATCGCCTCACAAATTAGACCTTTTGTGGGAGATAGCTTAGAAACCCTATTGTTTTTTAATCAGGGATTAGATGCTGAGAATTGACTATGATTCCAGGAGTGTAAAACCTATTATAGTAGAACAGTTTTCCACTGGAAAATGCTGATTCGTGAAAATCAAAACTTTTCATGGGCACATCAGTTTTGACAAAATTTAACTTTGAAGAAAAAGTTGAAACAAAGAGTTTTGAAAAGGTCCTTATCAGAACAAAATGTTTCAATTTTTTTGTTTCAAATTGACTTCATTTTAGATTATAATTTATAATATAACATTTTTAAAAGTCAGTATCAACATGAAAAATTTAGATTTTATCAAAATGAAATGTTTTAATTTACCCCCAATATTTTTTCTTCAAAAATGTTGTTTTATGGAAAATTTCAAATATGATGTTAGGTGCAGATTAGGAGTGAAATCAAAATTCAAAATCATGAATTTCCTGTGAAGTAGAAAGTCTAGTTCCTGCACAGTTCTAATTAATTTGCTCCATAGTTCAAATTGGATATGCGACGCTTAACTGCCTTGCTTATTTTGTTGTGTTGCAGCGTATTTCCTTTTTAACCAATTGCCACCCAGAAGTGGTTGCATTACAGTACTACATAAGGGTTGTCAACACATAAAAATTGCATTGTGTTAACTGTACTGATATATACTAGTACAAACTATACTGCTTCCAAACTAGGGGTGTTGCCAATTAAACTATTTCCTCAGAAAATCACATCCCTAAATTAAATAATTAAATTAGTATAAAAGCTATGTGTAGCCAAGGTTTAAGGATGAAATTCATCCCTATACTTAACACAGGGCCTCTTTATTAGCATTCCTCTGCATATTCAAAATAGACTTATTCCCACCTCCCAGTGGCAACAGTAGTAATTTAGAGCACTCAGCATCTCTTAAAAGAGGACCAGCTTGAGGTCTCTGCACCACTAAGGTCCCATCTAAGCCTTCAGTGTTGGATTTCAGAGGTATATAGGCATTGTGCTGGCTCCTAGCATGGGGGCAAATTTTGTTTGTTATCTTACTGTATAGTTTGTACAAGCAGTAGAGTTTGCAAAGCCCTGTTTAGATGAAAGGCATTATAAAATATAAGGTTTCAGAATAACAGCCGTGTTAGTCTGTATTTGCAAAAAGAAAAGGAGGACTTGTGGCACCTTAGAGACTAACCAATTTATTTGAGCATAAGCTTTCGTGAGCTACTGCATGCATCCGATGAAGTGAGCTGTAGCTCACAAAAGCTTATGCTCAAATAAATAAAATATAAGATCATTCTTATTATTAATAAGGGGAAATTTGGGGTTACACTACCACCATTAGAATAGTATGTTTCTATACTTGTGTTGTACAACTTCTCTGCTGATTATGAAATGGAAACCTAGTCGGGACAGAGTTTGGAAGTTTTGCTGTCATAATCTAAAATAAATTCAGCAAAAGAACTCTTGTAAACAGGTGCTAGTCACATATGCACATACTTTAAGCACACACAAAAAATGGGATTTAAATGGTATGCTGGCCTCCTGATATGGGTGACTTCCCCCAAAGAGAATATCCCTTCCCCAAGCTGAGAAGCAAAGAAACAGTGTTAAGTCATTAATGTGTAGAGGTCTGATTTCTAATGCCTACTGAAGCCAATGGAACAGCTCCTATCTACTTCAACAGACTTTGGGTGTGGCTGTGGTCTGGTGCGTCCAGAAGCCTAGAACAATCATTTGAATTTATTAAATAACATTGCAATTCTCAGACACAGCTATTCATACTTCAAAGGGCAGTTGTACCGGCATCTTCTTGCCCTTTTCCAGTCACAGTTAGTGAGCACACTGATCACTGTTGACCTCAACCCTAATGAGCAAAAGCTGGGACTCCTACTACTCCATGTTCTTTATTTACAGACATCAGAGGAGTGCACATTTCAGCTGGAAGTACATACAAATTCTAAAGGGGCGGGGTGGGAGACAGGGAATCTCTTGCATTGTCTTATTCAAGATTTTGTTAATTTCCCCCTACTGACCTAAATATTAATCATCACTAACTTTTCCAGCTAACTTGGTCTCCTTCCAAAACAGCCAGCAACTGCAATTAATGCCATTGCTCAGGCCAGAGAGTTTTGGTTTAGTTAATAAATTTGCTATTTATTGTCCATTTGGAAAGCATTTCTCTCTGCATGCAAGCATGCGTGTGTAATTATTTCTTAAGCAATGCAAAGGTTTTTCTTTAGTTATTTACTAAGTATATTACAAATAAAAAATCCTGCCCTTTAATCTCTGTTGATAATTTTATTAAAAGCACTTCCCCCTGCATTCCTTAAAACAGGGAGTTAGTATTCTGAAAATTATTTTAATATAAACTGCAAAACCTGCAAAGGGGACTTTGCCACAATATGCAAAGTGCCTATAAACCACCTTGAATGGGGCAGATCTGAAACATTTTAAACTTGTACTTCATCCCTCTTTCAGCAAGCATCCTCTGCAGATTTAATGATCAGGAACATCCTTCTGATGCATGCTGGGAGATATGGCTGCAGGATACAGACCACAGCAGACAGTGTGTCAGATGAGGCAGAACTTCTTGTTAGGGGTGAGTATATTAAGTCTCAGGTTTCAGAGTAACAGCCGTGTTAGTCTGTATTTGCAAAAAGAAAAGGAGTACTTGTGGCACCTTAGAGACTAACCAATTTATTTGAGCATAAGCTTTCGTGAGCTACAGCTCACTTCATCGGATGCATACTTCCAGGAGCATCAGATGAGCATCTGACAAGGTCCTGCTCCCTCCTCATGTCCAGGCCACCTGGCCAGTGGCTTGGCATGAGCAACTCTAAGGCTCTATGCATCCGATGAAGTGAGCTGTAGCTCACGAAAGCTTATGCTCAAATAAATTGGTTAGTCTCTAAGGTGCCACAAGTACTCCTTTTCTTTATGTTAAGTCTGAAGACATGATCAACATAAAGGATCATACAACTGAATTTAAATGCATGGAGTTTGAGCATATCAGTGCTGTACATTATACTTAGATTTTACAATACTGATGTCATTTTTGCTTAATGTTTTTGTCTTTGAAAAAGCTGTGTGGTAGACCAGTCTGCAAAACAGGCGTGACTGACAATGGCAATTGGTAAATGGACCCTCAGTTCTTAAAAGATGTAATAGCTTAAAAAGCATATTGAATTTTTTAAAAAATAATTCAATTCTGTGTGAGGTAAATGATTTTTTTTCATTTGTTATTATAAATGTTATCTAAAATTGAAGCCATTCGCTCAGGTTTAATGGTCAGGAAATATTAGCTCAGTTCCTAACCTGTGGGGACTGCTCTGTTTGTAGTATAATGAAAGGTATGAGCAATTATTAGGAAGAAATCCAAAATCTTAATATTTTTGAATATATGAGTGAAACTTTGCCTTACAGAGATCACATTGGCAACTTGCTAGGAGCTGGCAGATGCAATTAGGGTTCAACCCTGCAAGCTGCTGAGCACCACATGAGAGGTGCTGAGTGCCCCTAGTTCCCATTGACACAAGTGAGAATTTAGAGTTCTGAACACCACTCAAGAAAAAATGCTCAGGGCTTTGCAGGATCAGCGGGGCCTCCAACTAACACAAAGTGAAGCAGAGCTTAGTCACTTCATTTGCAATATGTCTTCCTTGCTGACTTCAGATCATACAGTCTTAGAAATGGAGGGCTGGAAGGGACATCAAGAACACCATACAAAGTTCCATCTTGATCAATGCATGATGGCACCTGTAGTCTCATGTGTCCCCCACATTTGCATTAGAATGTGGGAGGCTGCACTGTAGAACTCCTTATGTCTCATTTAGGCAGCAGGCATCACGCTGGCCATGCTTGTTATATGGTATGCTAAATTTTAAAATGTAATACACTGTGGGATATTTTATTAGCATGTAGGAAACCCCAAATAAAAAAATATAAGATGACTAGAGAAGATTTTAAAAAAGTAAAATCCTTTTAGCTTATTCCACCACTTGTTCAGGCTTGATTTTTTTTTTCTATCTGTCATTTGCATGGAGAAAATATGCTCTGTGGAGAAGAAATGGTGTTTCTGGCAGAGTGTGAGGTTCTTTACTTATTTGATGGGAGGGGCTGTTAAATGTTTGCATGAACTCAAGGACTACAGGGCTTCTATTAACCTAACTTCCGTGAACGTCATTTCACCAGTTGAAAGTTTCAAAAATTGCTCAACCTACTAGTACCTAGAATCCCACAGTCTTGCTTCTAAATTACACAGATCTGACCCCTGCTCCATAACCTCCTATGGTAAGCTAATTATTTCTCCCCCAGTGGGGTTCATTTTACATATGTGAATTTACTGTAGTTTGCTATAGAAAATGTTTCTCAGAATAGGAGGTCTGTATGTGAGAGTAATAAAAGCATTATCTGAGGTATTAGAAGGAATTGGATTCATGTGTCCCTAACTTTGTGATGAAATTAAAACTATGACATGAAATTAAAACATGATTCAGTTTCAAATATGCCATACTTACTATGTTCCATTATCCTTGTCTCTGAGGCTGGCAAATAAGAGGATAAAATCAGAATTATGTTTGTATCTGTTTTACAACTGGTTTACATTGTGTGTCTGTTTTTGTACTGATGTAAAGTTCTGCTTTCATTAAATTATGTGATTTGGTTAGTTTGTTCAAGAAGTGAATTTCCTATTAGATAGTTGTAATACTTATGCAAATAGCACAGAGCAGATTCTACAGTGTCAGCATTGCTTTTGCCAAGGGCTGGGTGATTTTTTTCTTTGTTTTTGGCCTTGCGGTAAATATTTAAAGCAGATTCCATGTAGTTGTCACTCGTTGTTTCTTCTTCAGCATTTTTCAAAAATTAATCCAAAATATTTAAGAGAATCTAAATATTTGTTTTCCTTTATCCTGTTAAAAATTATTGTAATTCAGTCCCTGTGCCCCTCCCCAGCGTTTTTCTCTACATCGCTCAGTTTACAGTGGCACTCAGTGGTTTGCAACTTGATAGTCCCAGGTTGCAGTGTCATGGCAAGCTTCTCTTGGTTGAGTCCTTGAGAACACTGGACACTGATTCAGCAGAAGAGTTCAGCGGTGCAAGGTTACTCTGAAGACTTCCAGTTTGGGGTGTGGAGGAGGCTTGTCATGTGTCTAGGAAATTCCCTACCACTGTGCAGTTTTGTCAATGAAAGCCAAAAGAGTACTGCTATATACTCCCTAGGTAGTATAACTTCTCAGGGATAGCTATTGTCTGTAGTTTAGATGTTATACTGTAAGGCTTGTCTGATCTTTTTTGACATATCATTGCTATTTTGACTGTGAATATGTGAGATTGTCTTCACTTACTGTACCCTCCATCTCCTCGGTAATACTTTTCACACACACAGAGTAAGTTGAATCAAAATCACTTTACACTTCCTCTTTTAGATATTCAAGGATATAACTGGTTGATTATTTGCAAGGGGACTACATTATGCTACTACTAATCAGATGTGTCGACTGTAAGTCAAAGGAAATTATTTTGACTCTTTATAATGAAGGAATAGAGAGACAACTGTACATTATCCTGCCCTCATCAGTTGGAGAAGAACAACACAAAGTCTTTGCAAATCCCAGTTGGTATCACACCTCAGGTGTAACTCTTCAAAGACAGCAATGTACCACCACATTCTCAGGCACGTGCCGTGTCTCAGAACATTGTATTGTATAGAAAACATATAGTTCCTTTCTATATTGTGTTCACTATGGAATAATATGCACCAATCTCTGTCTAGCATATTCATTTGAACACAGTATGAGTAGTAAGGCTTTCATTATTTTTCATTATTTATATAGTGCCTTCAGTATGTACTGCATTGTACAATGGAGGAAGTTTGCTAAAAAAATAAATGGTTAGACAACTTGGGTTAGCTCTTTTGTGCCTGCAGAATGAACAGCGCAGGGCAAGTCTAAATACTTTTGCCTGTAATTGCATGGTGTCATAAATATAAAGGGAAGGGTAAACCCCTTTGAAATCCCTCCTGGCCAGGGGAAAGCTCCTCTCACCTGTAAAGGGTTAAGAAGCTAAAGGTAACCTCGCTGGCACCTGACCAAAATGACCAATGAGGAGACAAGATACTTTCAAAAGCTGGGAGGAGGGAGAGAAACAAAGGGTCTGTGTGTCTGTCTATATGCTGGTTTTCTGCCGGGGATAGACCAGGAATGGAGTCTTAGAACTTTTAGTAAGTAATCTAGCTAGGCATGTGTTAGATTATGATTTCTTTAAATGGCTGAGAAAAGAATTGTGCTGAATAGAATAACTATTTCTGTCTGTGTATCTTTTTTGTAACTTAAGGTTTTGCCTAGAGGGGTTCTCTATGTTTTTGAATCTAATTACCCTGTAAGATATCTACCATCCTGATTTTACAGGGGGGATTTCTTTATTTCTATTTACTTCTATTTTTATTAAAAGTCTTCTTGTAAGAAAACTGAATGCTTTTTCATTGTTCTCAGATCCAAGGGTTTGGGTCTGTGGTCACCTATGCAAATTGGTGAGGCTTTTTATCCAACATTTCCCAGGAAAGGGGGGTGCAAGTGTTGGGCGGATTGTTCATTGTTCTTAAGATCCAAGGGTCTGGGTCTGTAGTCACCTAGGCAAATTGGTGAGGCTTTTTACCAAACCTTGTCCAGGAAGTGGGGTGCAAGGTTTTGGGAAGTATTTTGGGGGGAAAGACGCGTCCAAACAGCTCTTCCCCAGTAACCAGTATTAGTTTGGTGGTGGTAGCGGCCAATCCAAGGACGACGGGTGTAATATTTTGTACCTTGGGGAAGTTTTGACCTAAGCTGGTAAAGATAAGCTTAGGAGGTTTTTCATGCAGGTCCCCACATCTGTACCCTAGAGTTCAGAGTGGGGGAGGAACTTGACAAATGGTTTGCGCCTATAATTAGGTAAAGAAAGGTTCAAGTACTCAAATTTATGTACATCAATTTGTCAGATGCAAATAAGGAAGCTAATCTTCTGAAAATTTCCTACCATATGTGCAGGTTTTTAAAGGGTTGTGGGCCTTTTGCAAATAAAGTGTACTACCGTTTTGGGTGTTCACTGGATTTCATTTAGCATGAAATACACTTTTTTATTGACGTCTTTGTTAGTGACAAAACCATAATTTGAGCTTCCCGCACATACTCTTCAAAAGTGTTGTTAAAAGTTTTCCACCAAAAGGCTGGCAAGAAGCAAGACTCTTATCCCTCGACATAGTTTCAACATTTGACACTCAAAGCTGAAGACTTTGATGGGTACTTTAGAAATCTGATTAAATATCACATAAGTAATACTAAGGCAACTTTCTATTTAGTCCATAATAGCCTCTCTTTCTCCCAAATACCTTTCTGTTCTGTCCCTTGTTGTTATTTATTCTCCTTTCTGTTTTATTTTTATTTTTTTTAAATATGGCAAAGAATGGTGATGTCATTACCTATAAACATTTTATTGACAGTGCCAGTGTTTGCCCTATGAATTAATGCACTCAACTTTCAGCTTAGAGTTTAAAGCATTTAAATCCTATTATGATTTGCAAGTGAAAAACAGTTTAGTTGTTTCATCCTAGTGAATATTTGTCCT